TCTCACTCCCTCCCTCTTGTCTGCTGTGCCCTGGTGAGACGTGCTTCTTTCCCATTTGCCTTCCACTGTAATTTAAGTTTCCTGAGGCCTCCTACCTATGTTTTCTGTTAAGCCTGAAGAACTGAGTCAATTAAATGTCTTTTCTTCATAAATTACCTAGTCTCAGGTAGTTCTTTGTAACAGTATGAGAACAAACTAATACAGAAAATGGGTACTGAGAGAGTGGAGCACTGTAAGAAAGATATCTGAAAATGTGGCAGTGACTTTGGCATTGAGTAATGGACTCAATTTCCAAGATTTGGAAATGTTTGGAACTTCCTAGAGATGTGGTAAATGGTTGTGACCAAAATGCTGATAGTGATATGGACAATGAAGTCCAGGCTGAGTTGGTCTCAGGTGGAGTGAAAAACTTACTGGGAACTGGAATAATGGTCACTCTTTCTATCCTTTAGCAAAAACACTGGTGGCATTTTGAACCTGTCCTAGAGATCTCTGGAATTTTGAATGTGAGAGAGATATTTGGGTTATTTGGTGGAAGAAATTTCTAAGCAGTAAAACATTCAAGATGTATGTGACCTGGCTGTTTCTAAACAGGTATGCTCATATTCATGAAAAAGAGATTATCTGAACATGAAACTTACATTTAAAAGTGAAGCAGAGGAAAAAAAATATTGTAATATTTGCAGCCTGGCCATGTGGTAGAAAAGAAAAAACATATCCTGGGAAGAAATTTGAGCCTGCTGCAGAAATTTGCATAAAGAGGAGTCTAAGGTTAACAGTGAAGACAATGGAGAAAATGTCTCCAGGGCATTTCAGAGATCTTCACAGCAGCCCCTCCCACCACATTTCACCGTATACAAAAATTACCTCAAGATGGATTAAAGATTTAAATATAGCACCTTAAACCATAGGAAACCTAAAAGAAAATCTAAGAAATGTAATTCTGGACATCAGCCTTGGGGAATAATTTATGACTAAGTCCTCAAAAGCAATTGCAACAAAAACGAAAATTGACAAGTGAGACCTAATTCCACAAAAGAGTTTCTCCACAGCAAAATAAATTATCAATGGTGTAAACAGACAACGTACAAAATAGGAGAACATAGTCACAAACTATGCATCCAACAAATGTCAAATATCCAGAATCTATAAGGAATTTAAACAGTTGAACAAACAAAAAAACAGTATCACCAAAAAAAAAAAATGGTCAGAATATTTGAATAGAAACTTCTCAAAAGGAGACACATAAACAGCCAACAAACATTTAAAACTGTTCCACATCACTAATCATTAGAGATATGCAAATCAAAATCACAATGACATACCATCTTACACCAGTCAGAACGAATATTATTAAAAACTCATGCAAGGCGTGGTGTCTCACACCTGTAATTTCAGTATTTTGAGAGACTGAGGTGGGAAAAATCACTTGAGCCCATAAGTTTGAGACCCGACTGGGCAACCTAGTAAGACTTCATCTCTACAAAAAAAAATAAATAAAAAGTTTGCCAGGTATGGTGGTGCATGCCCATAGTCTCAGCTACTCAGGATGCTGAAGTAGGAAGATCACTTGAGCCCAGCAGATTGAGACTGCAGTGAACCATAATGTTCCACTGCACTCCAGCCTCGGTGACAGAGTGAGAGTCCAAGTCAAAAAAGAAAACCCAAAAAAACCCTAATAACCTAAGAGATGCTGATGAGGCTGTGGAGAAAACATATCCTGGGAAGAAATTTGAGCCTGCTGTTGGTGGGAATGTAAATTAGTTCATCCACTGTAGCAGTCAGTTTGAATACTTCTCAAAGAACTTAGAACTATCGTTAGACCCAGCAATCCCATTATTAGGTATTTATCCAAAAGGAAACAAATTGTTTTTCCAAAAAGACACATGCACTTACATGTTCATCACAGCACTACTCACAATAGCAAGGACGTGGGATTAACCTAGGTGCCCATTAATAGTGGATTGAAGAAAGAAAATGTGGTATATATACATCATGGAATATTATGCAGCCATGAAAAGAACAAAATCATGTCCTTTGCAGCAACATGGATGTAGCTGTAGGCCATGATCCTAAGCAAATTAACATAGGAACAAAAACCAAATACTGCATGTTCTCACTTATAAGTGGGAGCTAGACATTGGGAACTCATGAACATAAAAATGGCAACAGTGGAAATTGAGAACTACTAAAGGAGGAAGGGAGAGGCAGAAAGGGTTGAAAAACTATGCTCAGTACCTCAGTGATGGGATCATATGCACATTAAACATTAGTGTCACATAATATACCCACGTATAAAAATCTGCACATGTACCCACTGAAGCGAAAATGAACGTTGAAAACAACAAACATAGCTGTGATAGTTGGAGAAAAATGGTCTAATACACTCTTTCCCAGAGTGTAACACATACTCATTTATGGTACGCACACGGTTTTTAGGTGATATGTTAAAGATGGATTTAAATAGTTAAGAATTTATTTTAATGTCTTTTAGAAAAAGACATTAAATGGCATATCAAATCCATGATCTCAGAGATATTGTTGCTTAGGAAGAGGCTAAGTAAAACAAAAATATTAATTAGAGAAATGTGTTCAGAAGTGATTCCCCTTCCTGATAATCCCTACTAACTGTGCTTGGTATCTTTTCACAACCCTTATCACTATTTGACCTGTGTATTTTTTGCTCCTCCTCCCATAGTGTAAGATCAGTGAAGGCAGGAATTTGGTCCGTTTTGTTTGCTGCTATATGCCCAGAATGTATAATACTATCTGTTAACTAGAAAGGGCTCAATATACAGTTATTGAAAGAGAGGGGTGGGGTGTAAGTTAGAAAGTGATTGAGGGAGAAGAGGGAGGAAGGAAAGAAGGAAAGGAGAAAAAGGAAGGGAAAGAAGGAAAGGAAGAGAAATGAAGGGAAAAGAAGAGAAGGGGGACAGGGAGAAAGGGAGGGAGGGAGGGAGGGAAGGATTGATTGATTAGAGTTAAGCATGTAAGTAATATAAACGGTTGAGAATGTAGCAATAGCTTTCAAATCTGCAGAGTATGGTTTGGGAAGCATAGGAATAACAGGCTAAAGTAACAAGCAGTTTGGTTAGAGAAGATAGTAAAGGATTATAGATACTTGAACAATGTGCAGAAGGCCGGATGTAGTGGCTAACGCCTGTAATACCAGCACTCTGGGAGGCTGAGGCAGGCAGATCACCTGAGGTCAGGAGTTCCAGACCAGCTTGGCCAAGGTGGTGAAACCTTGTCTCTACTAAAATACAAAAATTAGCCAGGCATGATTGCCGGCGCCTGAAATCCCAGCTACTTGGGAGGTTGTAGCAGGAGAATTGCTGGAACCCGGGAGGCAGAGGTTGCAGTGAGCGGAGATTGCACCATTGTATTCCAGCCTGGGTGATAGAGTGAGACTCTGTCTCAAAAATAAGGGAATAAATAAATAATATGCTAAAGCTCTAGAATATTATGAGATAACATAAAATTCTCTAGGTTATATTGTTGATCCCCAGGAATATTCTGAAGGTTCTATCCAGAACTCTACCATTTCTATTCTTTGATAAAATTGAAGAGTCTTTTAAAGTCATTGGGAAAACACTCAAGAGTAAAGATCTTAATGGAATCTAAGTGTCAGCATTAGAGGCTCTGCTATTTTCTAAGGCAATCATGCTGAGGAGAAAGCAGTGGCTGTGCCAGAGTCAGAATACCTTCGGGTCTTTCTTCCAGCTCCTACATTGAGTAGATATGTGATTTTGGGAGAAAGTTGTATTTTCTAAAATTTAGGTGATTCCTTAAGACTTCTGAGTGGAAACAGAAATACAAAGAGATGGTAATTGAGGTGTGGGCCTCAAAAACAATTTTAATCTGCTGAGAGTGTGGGTTTATTTAGTTAATAGAAAGTTATTGAGTACCTTCGTAAGCCAGGCACTACTGCTAACCTAATCATTCCCTTAACTTAGGGAAAACAAATCTTTAATCCAGAAATTATAAAATTCTATGAGTGATCTAATTACATGAATTACTATAAAATGCCCATCTTGTTATCCGGGTGATAAATTTTGGCCCAGTATGTTTGCAAAAACAAAGGAGATGACAGCTGCATATTCTGTAAAACTGACAAGCATCGGTCTAAATATAGCATTTCCCAAAGGAAGATATCCATAATGTTATGGAACATAAGCTGTTTATAGTTGGTGCCCTGAAGAAACATTTTTAGCTTTAACAATTATGTAATATTTTTATTATGTTTTAAAAAGTTTTATCTGGATGTAAAAGCCACCATTCCAAGACGGTGTTGTGCAGGATGTTGGTAGGTGAAAAATGCAGGGAGTAAGACTGTCTTGCATAACCGTGGCTTGCTTGATCTCCCCTACTCTGTTACGTTTTCATTCACACTATCTGTCATTATCTGACGTTAATTTTTTAAATGTGTGCTATATTACTGAAAGTTGTAGAGATTCTAATAATAACAAAAATATGGGGAAAGGGATTTCTTAATATAACTCTTCGTCAAATGGATTCCTATCCCAGTTCCAGTAATCTTGCTTTAATCAATCACTTGGAGAAGCTAGAGAGCAATGTACCTGACCAATTTGCAGAATCAATTTTTGAGCTGAAAGGAACGTTAATGCTCTTGTTTTATAGATAAGTAGGCTAATGCCCAGGAAGGGCTGTGGTCACACAGAAGGTGGGCAGCAAAGCCTAGACTTCAACACATGTTACTTAAGGACAGGTCAGTGCATTGCCCATAACCTCTACTTATAGGCAATATAGATGAATGGAGTTTTCTTCTTGTAACAGACCTCAACATGCTGAAATGCTGTAAAGTTAATGGAATCGTATTGGTTGCTTCACTCAGAAACTCATATGTGCAGAGTCACTGCCAGTAACCAAGACAAAAAAAAAAACAAAATAAAGATGAATAAGAAATTACAATTTTCTGACACATAGTTTTACAGTATAAAGATTACGCAGTATATTACTGATGAAAACATCAGAATTACCTCCAAGAACCATGCCAGCCTGACAGCACTTTCTAAGGCGACATGCAGGGCAGTTTTTTCTGCGGATTTTATCAACAATGCAGTCATTTCTTCCAGCACATAAGTAGTTATGCTGCCCTAAAAAAAACAAAATGAGTTAAAATTATTTATGAAATCTAAGAATCACTGGAAATTCTATGCAGTGACAACTGAAACAGAGACTAGATACACATTAGCAAGTGCATGACTCAGCCAGCTTCCTGCCTGGCACGACTGAATGTTGGTGAAGCTATAAAACTGCTCAGTACTTTACCTGTGCCTTTAGGAGTCTAAATGAGGTGAACACAGCTGAAGAATCAATCCCGGGGCTGCTTTAAAAATCTTTTGCACAAGATTTCTGTCCATCTTCTTAATGATGTCAGTATCAGATTGCCTTTAGATGTCATTTCAAGATTAATTACATGTTACTTACAAGCATTGGTTGCACGAGTTGGTCAAGTTCTAGTAAAATCTATTCTTTCTGGCATCTTTGCCTTCAAGAAAACAGATACAGACTAAAGAACTGAAGAGGCCTCTGAAGTAGACCTTTAAAAAAAAATCTAAATGCTTAGTTTGATTGGAAAATTCCAGAGCTAGTTCTGTCTTAAAGGAGTCAATGCTTGGGAAGAGCATGTAAAAAAAAAAATCATTTATTGTACTGAATTTAACGTCTGCTTTATTTTGAACACACATTAGAAAATACCTTGAACAGAAATAATGACAAAGGAATAACAGATTAAAACAGACAGAAGTGCTCAATAAAGAAGAGAAAACTTATAAAAGTACAGATAATACTCATCACACATCACCCTGGGTCACTTTGTGTAAAGGAAACTATGTATGCCTTTAAAAAGGGCTGGCACATAAATGTAATATCCAACAATAATGATTTTAAACCACAGATATTTTAGTAAGGCATAGAACAATATAATTTATTTATATTGAGCAAAAATGAAAAATAATTCAGCTTAAACATGTAAATGTTAATTACCTGGAAGATTTACTTTTATTGACACTCTTTTTTGCCAATAAATTTATTTAAAACCGAGAGTCTTTTAATATCATCAGCCTACTTCAGCCTACTTATACTTCTGAAGTGTGACAAATAATTTTAAAAGATCATGGAATATTCCCATAGTATTTTACATTAGTTAAAATTAAAATCAGAGTCTTTTGGCCAAAGTTTGTAGTAAAGGGATTCAGAGGTACTGAAAACATGTACTTAAGCAGGGGAAACGATTAGCCTAAATGGCAAAGGGCAAAAATGCCAAAAGGCCTATCTCTGTGACAGCTGATAACAAGAAGGTTCCTGACCTCAGGCATTTCTGGAAAAGCACAAATATTATTTTCTTAAAGATGTATGCCTCTATAAACTTGACAACTCTTTCAAAAAGTGGGCAAAGGATATGAATAGACACTTTGCAAAAGAAGACATCTATGCAGCTGACAAACGTGAAAAAAAGATCATCACTGGTCATTAGAAAAATACAAATCAAAACCACATGGAGATACCATCTCACACCAGTTAGCATGGTGATCATTAAAAAATCAGGCACATGTACTGATTTGTATGTGGCATATATATATATATATGTGGTATATATATATATATATATACACACACACACACACCATGAATACTATACAGCCATAAAAAAGGATGAGTTCATGTTCTTTGCCGGGGCATGGATATAAAGCTGGAAACCATGATTCTCAGCAAACTGACACAGAACAGAAAACCAAACACTGCATGTTCCCACTCATAAGTGGGTGTTGAACAATGAGAACACATGGACACAGGGAGGGGAACATCACGCACTGGGGCCTGTCAGGGGATGGGGGGCTAGGGGAGGGATAACAGGGAGTTGGGGGATAGGGGAAGGATAGCATTAGGAGAAATACCTAATGTAGATGAAGGGGTGATGGATGCAGCAAACCACCATAGCACATGTATACCTATGTAACAAACTTGCACATTCTGCACATGTACCCCAGAACTTAAAGTACAATAAAATAAATAAAAAAAATAAAATGGCTTAACAGCATCAAATATTTTTTTCATTCCTAAATGCTGTGGATTCTTTCCTGATCTGAACAATTTGCTTCAGGTTATTTCTTTCCCCACCTGTCCCACTGCTTCATATTTTGGGGGCTCTCTTTTCTGACTCTTCACCTGTCTTTCCAGTAAGTTCCCTTTGCCAACCCCTCTTCCTTTGCTTACTCTTTATATGTTGTGTGCCACTGCACACACTTTGTGGGTAGTCTCATTATCTTTTGACAGTCCCCAAATCTCAATATGAGCTCTGACCTTCCAGTCATTTCTCTAGGTACCTCAAACTCAATATATATGAAATACAATTTAGTGGTTATCTGTTCAAATTATATCATGAATTGTATTATTAGAGCAATTCTGTAAGAAAACAAGGAAATTAAAAAGAAAAAATAACCTACAATTTGATAACAACGCATCTATTCTAATTTTTGCTTCTTTCTTGCTGTGATTTGAATGTTTGTGTACCCTTCAAAATTCATATTGAAACTTAATCCTCAATGAAACAATATTAAGAGGTGGGGCTTTTGCTTTCAGGGATGGAATCAGACCCCTTCTAAAAGGGCTTGAGGGAGCAAATTTAGTCATTTTTGGCTTTTCTGACATATGAGGATGTAGCAAAGGGCACCATCTTGCAAGAAGAGAGCAAAACTTTATCAGACATGGAATCTGTGCCACCTTGTTCTTGGCCTCTCAGCCTTTAGAACTGTTAGGAAATATTCCTGTTTTCATAAATTACCCAGTGTAAGGAATTTTTGTTGCTGTAGTGGAACAGACTAAAATATTTCCAAACTGGCTATACAAATCTAAATGGTACTTAATATCTATTTGTTGATATTTAAGTGAATGTATTTATACTTTTATAAAACTCTCATTCATTCAACAAGTACTGAGTATCTACTATATCCCAACACTATTTACTGCATAATCCATCTTTTCCCCCACTAAATTAAAATGCCATTTTAATTGCTGATGCTACATTGTAGTACTGAAGAGCACAGTTAGAGAGGCCAGACTGCTTGTTCAAAGCTCAGATCTGTGAACTACTATCCACAAAATAAAAATGACAAAAGAACAACAGACAATTATTAGGCATGTACTATGTGTCAGACATTGTTATAAGCTACTGACATATATTAACTCATTTAAACATCAAAGCAAACTTGGGAGGTATTATTATTCTTATTTTATAGAGAGTTAACTGGAGCACCTAGAAGTTAAATAGCATGCTCAAGGTCACATAGTTAAACATTTTAGATTAATTATCTTGAGAGGTAGTATAGAAAGTTAAGCATATGGTCTCTGGAGTACTGTTTTAAGTGTCAATGTCAATCTCATCACTTAGTAGCTGGATGACATTTGGCAATTAAAATGAAGATAACATTAATACCTTGGATTGGATCTAAAGAATATGCAAGCTCATATAAGAGCTTAGAATAGTCTGGCACATAGCAAGACCTTCACAAATGTTTACTATAATTATGACTATCACACTCTTAAATCTCAAATATAGTTAGATCTTTTCTAGAAGTGGTCCAAGAAGTCTCTATCTAGTCAAGTTATTCCATTTTAAAGGCAACTTAAAGATATTCTCAAACATGCATAAAATTGGGAAATAAGGCCCCAGTATACTCTTCTTGAAGATGTAATCCAGCCAACAATAGATGAGTTATAGCAGAGAATGTATGAGGTAGGAAGTCTGGTATGAAGAGACTGATAATAAGTACCAAATAAATTTAAACATAAGTATAAACAAGGAAATTAGTGTTATCAAACAGAATGCAATTCTTATAAGTTTGGAAGAAAAAAAGGACTTTGAAGTCTAATATTTAAAATTTGAGTGCGAAGGAAAATTTTTTGACAATTAAGGGCATTGGCATGAAGTCATGACCTTGAGGGGTTGTCACAACTCATATCATTGTTGACTGCATGTGACAGACTGGAACAGTTTAAAGAAATCTGGAAGCTCAATCCACTCTAACTTTTCATCATCTTTAACACTAAGTTATGAGCCATCAAAACTGCCAAGTCGATGCATTATCATGCAAACAAAACATAGCGGGTATAGAGGTTAATCTTCTCAAGCAATTTTTTGGCTAAAGAAATGTTGCAGCCAGCCAGTTCCAACTAGAGCTGACTAAGATAATTTGGCATGGGGCCCACCCATTGCTTCTGAACCATAATGCATGCCCAGGACTCAGAGCCACCAAGAATGCAATGAATACAGAGGGAGCCACTCACTCCATGTGTCACTCCATCAGGTACCTGGCTGTATATGCAGGTGAAGAAAGGTCAGGCACAAATGCATTATCCCTGTCACAACATTTTCCTGGAAATCTAGAAAAAGATGAAAATCTCACGTAACATCAGTTGCTACCATTTTTCTTCAGACAACAGTCCCCAGTGTATATTCTGGTTTTGAGAAACACATCCATGTCTAGATCCACTTGCTCACTTGTCATAAATCTTGGGTTGATGGCTCGATTGCATATTATTGCTTCTCCTCTGTCCAATATAACATTGTCACTATTCAACAAGTGTAAAACAAGTCACTGTATTAAACCACTCAGAGCATTCCATTTGCTGCTGTGTTTGCTATTGACCTACGTTGTCGCCACTAGGAGTCACAATTCATTTATGAGCACTTATAAGCTATAAGCCACCACAAACAGGTTACATGGCATAATAATAAATAGGAGAGTTCACTCAAGCAGGAGCCGCTGTCTAGCTCTCTCCCTTAATGTATGCATCATCTGCCCCTTTGAAACCTGGGGAGCTACAGTCTGAAGTCCTTAATAGAGCAGCACTACACTTCCTCTTTCTCCTTGCAAAACTGATCTGTTTTAGGGTGGGAAAAGCAGGGGGTACTAACTGTTATGTCTTTTCTTTCTAATCACCTGCTCTTTCCCATGTTCTTTATGCTCCAGAGTACTAACATCCTTGGATTACCCCCACACTCTCATGCCTCTATGACTTTCCTCCCTTCCTTCCAATTTATCAACTGGAGAAAATCTCACCCATCTTTCAAGCCTTGGCTTAACTGCTCCCC